AATAAATAAAAAAATGGTCATGCACGGTAGTGTATGGCTGTATTTCTGGCTACTTGGAAGGTTGAGACTGAAGGATTGCCAATGCCAAGCAAGGTGATCCCGTGGTGACCGTGAGTGTGCCACTGCACTCCAGCCAGGGTGAAGGAATGAGACTGAAATTCCACAAAGATTGAAATTATACAATGTATTTACTTCTCACCATAAGGAAATAAAACTGAAAATTAAAAGTTGAAAAACTACAGTGAAACAAAAAAATACTTGCAAATTAAGCAACACAATTTCAAGAGTCAGAAGATTTAGGCTGTGTGTGGTGGCTCATGCATGTAATCCCAGCACATTCAGAGGTTGAGATAAGTGAATCACTTGAGCCCTAGAGCTAGAGACCAGCCTAGGCAACATAGCAAGACTTCAATCCACAAAACATAAAAAAAAGCCACACATGATGGCACATGCCTGTTATTGCAGCTAATAGGTAGACTGAAGAGGAAGTGTTGTCTGAGTCCAGGAAGTTGAGTGCTTTTAAGTCGTGATAATTTCACTGTACATGGAAGACATGTTGAAAAACCAACAGAATCCAGAAGATTATTATAATAAAAAAAAGTCAATTCAACCCACAGTGATATACAAGTAATGTAATTCCTATGATTATTTCTGTGACACTTTTTTTGAAAAAATATTTTTTAATCCTGAATTTACATAGAATCTCAAGGAACGATAAATACCTTAAAAAATTAGCAATAAAGGATAAGATATAGGTATCACACATCCTGATTTTAAAACATATGATTAAGTTATGGGAATAAAATATGTGGTTCTGGCAAGCAGAAAGACATATAATGGAACAAAATGCAAAACTTCAATATAAATCCTTATGAATATGAACAAATAGTCTTTAACAGTATTGACATGGCCACACAAGGGGAAGCAAAGCTTCTTTCCAAATGGTGTTGGAAAACTGGCTGTCCACAAAACAGAAAAATAAAGAAAATGATTAAATGCTTAAATGCAAAAACCATAAAGGTATTAGAACCAAATATAAGATGGATGTTAAGACACTGTCCGTGACAATGTTTTGTTAGACACTAAAAGCGTAAGTTTTGATGAAAAATAGAAAACTAAATCCTCAAATTGAAAAAAAAAACTTTAAAAAATTAGCTGGGTGTGGTAGCGTGCACCTGTAGTTCCAGCTAGTTGGAAGGCTGATGTGGAAGGATCACCGGAGCCCAGCAGGTTGAGGGTGCAGTGGTGAGGACTGGCCACTGCACTCTTGTCTGAGTTAATTCCTAAAAAAAAAATTAAAAAACATAACTGAAACATGGACACAAAAATGAACAGACATTTCTCCAAAGAAGACATACAAGTAACCAACAAGCATTTCAAAAGATTTTCAAAAAGACAAATGTTCAGAGAAATGTAAAGCAAAAGCACAATAATATAAAACCTTACACCCAGAAGGATAGCCAATATCAAACAAAATAACAAATGCTATTGAGGATGTAGAGATGATGAAAGGCTTGTGCACTGTTGGTGGGGGGAAAATGATGCAGCCTCTATGAAAAGTAATATAAAAATGCCTTAAGAAATTAAAAATAATCCTGTGACCTGCAATCCAAATTCTGGGTATCTATCCAAAGATACAAAGCAGAACCTGAAAAAGATAGGTGTACATCCATGATTATGGCATCATTGTTGACAAAAGCCAAAAAGTGGAAGCACCCTAAATATCCTTCAAAGAATGAATGGACAGAGAAAATGTAGCACCCTTTAAAAAAGAAATCTTGTCATATGTTATGGTAAGGATAGCTCTTGTGGACTTATGTTAACATAAATAAGCCAATATCAGCTGGATGAGTTTACCCATTTCGGTAATGTCAGCACCTGAGCCCAGCAGTTCAAGACTTGCCTTGCCATACAGTATGACAAGACTTGAGCTTTAAAAAAAAAAACTGGGCATGTAGGCACCAACTTGTAATCCCAGTACTCAGGAGGCCTTACTTGAGCCACCACACTTCTGCCTGAGTGACAGAGACCATAATTTGTAAAACAAAAGAAAACCTTAATCAGGATTTGGAAGATATCCTTGATATTGATATTGGTCTGAGTAATGATTCTTTTATTGCTTATAGGAAAAAAACCAAATATAAGCATGTTGGAGATATCAGATTAAAAAGCTCTGCACAGTAAAGGGAACAGGAAGAAGGCTTACAAAACAAGAGAAAATATCTGCAATCTGTATACCTGATGACAGGTTAATCTCCAAAATATACAAGAAAATTATACAAATCAAAGGCAACAACAAGAAAATGTTAATCAACTGACTAAATAATAGCCCAAAATGAATAGTTATTTATCAAATGAGTATACAAAAATTGTCAACAGGTATAAGAAACAGTGCTCAACATCACAAAAAGAGGCAATTTCAAATAAACACAATAACGATATACTATTTCACACCTTTTAGGATGGTTAATATCAATGAGGAGATAACTTTTGATAGGAATGGGAAAAAAAGGAAATCCTGTATACTGTTGATGATTTTAAAATGGGTAGAGTCATTATAAAAATTATTAAAACATTTTTTTTGAGTTGGATTCTCACTGTGTTACCCAGGCTGGAGGGCACTTTTATTTCATGGTCACCACAACATCAACCTGCTGTGCTCAGGTGAGGCTTCAGCCTCAACCTTCCAACTAGCTGGTACTACAAGCAAGTGTCACCATGCTTGGCTATTTTTAATTTATTATAGAGATAAAGTCTTGCCAAGTTGCCCAGCCTGGTCTCGAACCCACAGCCTCAGACAATCCTCTCACCTCAGCCCCCCAAACTTATGTGATTATATGCATGAGTCACTGCACCCAGCAGAACATTGTTTTAAAAATAAAAACAGCCGGGCTCGGTGGCTCAGCATGTAATCCCGCGCCTTTGGGAGGCTGAGGTGAGTGGATTGCCTGAGCCCGCGGGTTCGAGACCAGCCTGGGCAGCGAGACCTCATCTCTACAATAAATCAAAAAATCAGCCGGGCATGGTAGTGCACACCTGTAGTTGCAGCTACTTGGAAAGCTGAGGCGGAAGGATCTCTGGAGCCCAGCAAGTTGAGGCTGCGGTCGCCGGGAGCGGCCACTGCACTCCAGTCTGGGTGACAGAGTGAGACGCCAACTTAAAAAAAAAAAAAAAAAAGGGGGGCATGGTAGCTCAGACCTGTAGTTGCAGCTACTTGGAAAGCTGAGGTGGAAGATTCACCTGAGCACAGCAGGTTATGGCTACAGTGGCCATTAAAATGCCACTGTACTCCAGTCTGGGTGAAAATGAGATTCCAATTCCAGGAAAAAAATATGCTGCATAATCTCACTCATGTGTGAAATCAAAAAAGTTTGCACTTATAGAGGAAGAAGGTACAAGGATGGTCACCAGGGCCTGCAGGTGGGATAAATGGGAGATGTTTTCCAATGGTTACAAAACTTCAATATCACTGAGTTTTAGGGAACTAATGTGTAGCAGAGTGACTTATAGTTAATAATGATTTCAGGTACACTTAGAAAATTTGCTAAAATAATGGACATTATGTGTTTTCCTTACAAAATGTGAAAATAGCAACTATGCAAGGTGATTGATATTTTCATTAGCATAATTATAATCAGTTTTACAATGTATAGGCATATCAAATTATTACATTGTACACAACAGGTTTATACATTTTTATTTATGTATAAAAAATCAGATGTTAATCACACACACATAAACATATGCACATGTGTATATATATATATATATACACATATATGTAAAGTAGTTCTAAACTTCATACTAAACAAAGAAAAATATAAATGTTATTAAGAAACAAGGTAGCCGGGCTCGGTGGCTCAGCCTGTAATCCCGCGCCTTTGGGAGGCTGAGTGAGTGGATGGCCTGAGCCCGCGGGTTCGAGACCCGCCTGAGCAGCGAGACCTCATCTCTACAATAAATCAAAAAAATCAGCCGGGCGTGATA